TATCATTATTCTTACGGGATAGGTCCCCTGGTGGAACAGCGGTAAGTTTATGGACTTACAACGCTAAAACCCGTGGTCCGATTCCCCGAGATGGACAGAACACATAGCCCACTGTGGCCTTGTTCACAAAAACGAACAAACTTAAAGGTTAGTTTGAGCTCCATATTTCATACAATGCCACAGAACAGTTATAATTTTTGTATGATGCTAAAATAAATTCTAATAAGTATTTATTAAAACATCCGATGATATTTGTATTTAAGTATATAAAACATTATTTTATGGCTGAGAGTCCGCTGTTAATGAAAAGCCTGCGCTCAAACCGTAGTTTTGTGGATCATATTCAGTAACTCAAGCATAGGTCAGCACCTCTGTCAGTGACGGTTTGTATGTCTATGAACTTACGTATTATGAACAGGTGTTAAACTTTAAGTTCATCTCTAATGTTTTTTTTGGGGGTGGGGGAGGATATTCCGAAAGCTCTCTTTTTACTCTTTGTCGTGTATGTGCATTTCATTTTATATATTCATTGAAAATAATTTATTATACATCTGTAATTCATATTTATTCTTACCCTATATGCCCCCAGTGGCACAGCGGTATGTTTGCGGACTTACTACACTAGAAACCGGGTTTTGATACCCGTGGTGGGCAGAGCACAGATAGCCCAATGTGTGGCTTTGTGCTTAAATTCAAGCAAACAAACCAACTTCCCTTTATAATTAACTTTTACAGTAGATATAGATCTACAACACCCGGTTATTGTCAGCTTTAACATTCTGGCTGAAGAAATTTTATTAAATCTTTTTATCAGTTCTGGAAAAGTTTCGGTAGAAAACAAACATAAAATCACGAAGCTAAACACGTTTGTTTATAATTCATATCTTATTGGTGTATATTAAATTAACAACGAATCTCTGAGTCAGTTGAACCAATTGTGTAACTCCTGGTAACAAAGTAGGATACACACAAGATCTGGCTAAGTTGGATTAAATATAAAGATCTGTAATCATTCTGCAGTCTCTGTTCTTCTTGTCCTTCGATAAACCGCAGAGTTATTGTTTATCATCACTAATTTCATTGTTCTGTTTTGTAGCTCTTACCTTCTACATTCTGCAGCCCGTTCGTCATCATCATCATCACTACTTTCAATGTTCTGTAGCTTGTAACTTCTACATTCTGCAGCCCGTTCATCATCATCATCACTACTTTCAATGTTCTGTAGCTTGTAACTTCTACATTCTGCAGCCTGTTCTTCATCATCATCACAACGGGCTGCAGAATGTAGAAGTTACAAGCTACAGAACATTGAAAGTACATCATCATCATCACTACTTTCAATGTTCTGTAGCTTGTAACTTCTACATTCTGCAGCCCGTTCTTCATCATCATCACCATCACTACTTTAAATGTCCTGCAGCCTGTAACTTCTTCTACATTCTCCAGTCCGTTCTTCTTCATCATCACAGCTGTCACTATTTTCATTGTCCGCAGCTCACTTGTTATCATTATCATTGCCACCTTTGTAATTTTTCAGCTCATTCCTTTCTCTGTAAATAGTTTTCGGTCAAATAAATCTGTTAATGTTTTGTCACTCTGCAGTAAACATCTCCTGACCCATGGCTTTGTAAGAGGTTTCCAGTATAGAGGCTTTATAGGGTGTCAACCTGCAGTCATCTTACACAAAGAAGTTTCAACAAACTTATTATATTACAATGTTAGTTTTGAGAGGATAGCAGTATATACTGTATTACAATAACACCATGACCTCAGGCAAACTTCAGTAAAACATTTCTCCATCCATCAAAGAAGAAAAATCGTATCTCCTCCAGTTCTTTTCCGTTGGATTCTTCATACAACAGTGTATATTTCGTAACATTTGAAGAGAGTTGAAGAAATGCCGGATGTCTGCCTCCAAAACGTGAAATGCCGTACGTGGTCTGGTTGACTCAAAGATTCATTGTTAACTTATATTAATTTTTTTTTGTTGCATTACAATACTTTTGATATGTTTTTATTAGTTTGTATCCTTTCATGGGTCACTTAAACTTACAAGACTTCAGGAGCTTAACACCCCACCCCCAGAAATAGAAGTTTCGCGAATTTGGTCAATAGGAAAGCGAATGATTAATTAACACAGGTAATGGTAAGCATATGCGGATGTAACGCGTGAAAGGAGTACTCAGAAGCACAACCAAAATATACCGAAATTTACTGAGACGTTTTCTGGAAACGTTAATAGGCATAAATCTTACAGTCCCTTTTAAACAGCCATTCCTATCATTATAGACATAATGTATCTTTACAAAGAAGAAACTACACAAAACATAGTAAGAAAAATTTAATCACTCCTTACTGAAGCACCATTCTGGATCATTTGTGGATTGATGACTACAATACCTTCCCACGAATGTCCTGTCGGCGAACCTTGTAAAGTTCACTTTTCTGGTCAATAATAATAATAATAGAGATGATCCTGTGAAAAAGATGTCCCAGGCCATGTAGAATAATTTAATAGGAGGAAGAGCAGAAATATATTCATGCAAATAAATAAAGTATTTACGACTCTTGAAGAAGAAAACAAATTAGACTTAGGATTATGCAGTCTGTACAACAGCCACTTTTAACAGTTTTGTGTTTCTTTGTGAAAATGTAATCATTTTGTTATAATTTATCCTTTCTTTACTGGCGATGTTTCATGAAAAAGTAAAATAATTTGGAACTTTAACAGAAAGCATGACAGTTCATTAAAAACTTAGTCGATTTAGTGGAAAGTTTAATTATAGTCTGTTGGGGTTTCCCTGTAATGTAAGGGGGGATTGGCGACTAACGTAGAATTTCCGTTAAGTCATGTTTGGGCTAATACGAAGGATCAAGTTGTTAACATAATGATTCTTTAGAATTGAAAATTCATTTGGTTAAGTTATTCTTGGACTTCTTAAAATGATTTTGTCATGTTTTAAATTTTTGTTGTTAATTTCATCATGTGAAGCGAAGTTGGTTTATTAAAAATCAAGTGTTGGATTTAATTTGTTTTACATCTCGAAATGTTCTTGTTGAATATTTTACTTATTAGACAAGCTGAACATAAAGACATCGTTTAGAACTTCGATTTAATTACGTGCTGTGTTTCATGTTTAATTTACATCTCTTTCTGCGATATAAATTTCTCCAGATATAAGGTAAGTCATTCAAGATGTCTTGTTTAATTTTATGTTCAGATATCTTTAAAGCTTTTAATTACTCACGGATTATGGTTTTGTTAATTATTTCGTAATTGCATTCTCACAATAAATAGAGCAGCAACAGTTAACTTTCAGTGTCTCGATTTTTTGTCTGTAATATTCCATAACGTCATAACTGTTGTTATTTGTTAGGGCCATTTGTTGCCTTACGTTCTGTGTGAAAACTTTAAAACAGGAAATATCTGTAAACACTCCACTTGTGACTGGGTTAATATGCCTTCCTTCTAACGATATTTTCATAAGAGCCTTATGAGACATTATTCTGTATTTTGGATGTATAACGCAGAAGCTGGTTGGAGAGTAATAAAAAATTTTATCACTTAGGTTCAGCTTTATACTTCTCATAACTTAGTGATGTGATGTGACTATTGCTCATGTTCTAATTACGTTGATAACACACCTCGGCCGACCTGACATGATCAAGTAAACTGTGTAGTTGAAATGTTTCATTTACTTTTTCTTCTTCCGGAAATCCATTCAAGCTGAGTAGTAATAATAATAATAATAAAGGTATAGCGATATATCACCATAAACGTACCCTAAGTTTAGGGTTTGTGCTTCGTGTATAATCAGATTTATCACTGAACTTATTGTGTTAGGCCTATTTGATAAAACTGCATGATGCGATTATTTAAATATATAATTGACATTGTCCAATGATTATGATTTTTCTGCTCCTTACCTTTATGTAAGCTATAGTTGCAGAAAAATTGAATTTTGAAGACTCTTAATTGTTTTGTTTATGTATAGTTATTTTTAC